GATGCATCAATAAAGTTAAACAAAGCAGATCACTGGAAATAGAGTTTCTTCTATGAATATAAAGATTTTTTTTTTCTTGTAATATCAAACAGATAATACACCGCTTCTAAAAAAGATTCATAAAAATTCAATTCATTGCTGAGCATGTTCGAAAAAATGCTGCATGGGAAAAACAGTTCAAAGTTTTGAATACTACAATGAAAGGTTGAGAGAACTAGGCATCATGGCTCAGTACTTACACAACATGGATGTTTCTATTTTCTACATGCGTCTACTTCTTCCACATAACGCGTAGTATCAGCTTCTAGCTTAAACGCCACGTCAAACAGACAAAAGTGTTTCTTCCTGCCTTTAGAAGTCCATGGAAAACACAATTATATATTCATTAAACATGTGATTGGAAATAACATTTATGTCTGCGATAGGTTTCTGTAATAGTTTACAGCACGAGACCGTTTTCAAAACAAAGGCACGGCAACGTCAAGCATTTTCAAATAAGACTTCCTAGCTGAACCATAAACAATGCATCCATAGTCTAAGATGGAACGGATAAATGTTCTATACAAATTAAGGAGGACTTTTTTATCAGCACCCCAATCAGTGTGAGCAATTACTTTAATCAAATTTAAGGCTTTTAAGCATTTAGCTTTCAAATTCTTAACGTGTGGTATGAATGTCAGCTTCTTGTCAAAAAGAACACACAAGAATTTTGTTTCCTCAACAACTGGAATAAGTGTTCCATCCAGCGTGAGTTTAGGGTTATCATGATGTTTTCGCAACTGACAAAAATGCATGCATACTGTTTTTGATTTTGAAAATTTGAAACCGTTATTACTGGCCCAACTTTGAATCTTATTGATATTTTGCTGTAGTTGCCTCTCAATTGTATGCATGTGTTTTGAGCGATAACAAATTAAAAAATCGTCAACATATAATGAGCAGTCAACACCGGGAGCTAAGCATTTGGTGATACTATTGATTTTGATGTTAAAAAGCGTCACAGATTCCCAATTCATCATCAGGGAATAAGACTTGCTCTAGGAGCATTTAAGACATCTCCGTGTGACAGCCTTCTCGCGGAGGCGAATGAACCACCTTTATCGCATCGCAGAGAAATGCTTTCTGCACATTATGCTCTTAAGTTACGATCCAACCCTCTGAACCCTGCTTTTTCGGCCGTTTTTCATCCAAATTACAAAGCTTTATACGTAAATAAACCAAATGCTATACCTTCATTTGGTATTAGAATATCATCCTGCTTTGACCAAATCAAATGTAATCTATCTTTAATCCAGAAAACCTTTGTCTCGAAAACACCACCTTGGCTCATTAAGCAACCCCAAGTGAATTTTACGTTACACGATCGGAAAAAATCTGAGACAAACCCTATCCTATTCTTGAATTCTTATCATGATCTACTCGATGAATTTACACATTATGCTAGATTTTATACTGATGGATCAAAGGTTGCTGATAAGGCTGCTGCAGCCTTCGTCAGTGGCAAACACATAACCAAAGAGCGTTTGCCAAATGATGCATCCATATTTACAGCGGAAATCAGAGCAATAGACCTCGCTCTGACATTTATCGAAACTAATCATATTCTAAATAGTATTATCTTCTGTGACTCATTATCAGTGCTTCAGGCGCTACACAATATCAAACTAGATAATCCACTATTGGTGAATGTTTTGATCAAAAACTCTGAGCTTAGTGCCTCATGCAATATAGTATACTGTTGGCTACCTAGCCATATTGGTATTAGAGGTAACGAAGAAGCAGACCGGGCTGCTAAGATGGCCCTATCTTTAGAACCATCGGATTTTAAATTACCATATTCTGATTTTAAACCTTGTATCAAAAAGTATCTACGTCAAAAGTGGCAGGTATCATGGGATGATGCAATCAATAACAAACTTCATGCCATCAAACCAATCTTGGGAGAATGGACTCCTTCCTACAGAACTATTCGTAGGGAGGAGGTTGTCATTGCAAGAATCAGAATCGGTCATACATACATTACCCACTCACACATACTAAAAGGTGAAGATCCACCAGAGTGCGTTCCTTGCAATGTACCATTTACTGTTGAACACTTTATGACCACGTGTTCCGACCTGCAACCTACGCGTGATAAATACTATAATGTACACGACATGCAGGAACTTTTTGATACTATTCAAATCACTAGTATTTTAGAGTACCTAAAGGAAGTAAATCTTTTTTTTTAAACTGTAACTTTTTATGACCTTACCCAAACTAATTTTTAACTAATACCAATACCAACTATTATTTACATCTTTTCATTAAGATACATCATTTACATCTCCCATTGATCGTGAACCAATATCTTTATCTGTTACCAACATTTACCATTTTATATTTATCTACTATGGATTTTTTACTATATCGCTGGTCGATATTGAACCTTTTTTACAAATATGACCTACTGTATGGCGCTAAATAGCCTAAAAGTGCTGGTGCGTCGTTAAAATTTAAATCAATCAATTAAATCAATCAAAGCAACGTCGAGCTTTCAGCGACGAAAGGTTCCTATCTATTTTGTATGAAACAAAACCAATTCCTGCGCAATAAATAATGAGTTATACCAACAATAATGGTGTGGTAACTCTTGGACAACCTTTAATTTTATTTTCCCAGCCTAGGAAATGTCAGCTTACGATAAATATACATGTCTTTTAAAACTGGACAAGATGCGACTACCAGTTAAATACCTGAATGAAGCATATCGCTCAATCACATTTTCACAAAGTGGCAATAAACTTAAATATGCTTAACAGAGCTCATTTTCACCTCTAACAACAAATATATTGATTCTAACAGATGTTACCTTCGTGTCATTGAGTATGATGGAACAAAATAGATGGTAAAGAAGTATGTAGACTGATTACGACCAAAATTACTATAATGTTATGGAACCGGGATGGATTCTTATCAGGTTATTTTACTACAACATTATATGACCCTCCTAAACGTTGTGGTTATCCATTTCTGTTAAATTAAAGATAAAACAAAGAATCATTAATGATAAATAGAGAATAGCAAAATCAGATGCATATAATAATACAACTATTGACTTGTATGTTTGAGGTATATTAAAGGAAAGCCTTGTATTGGTATTTGTCTTTTACATTCTAACATCTGATTGGCTGCTGTATTCATGTGATCTTCCAAAGCATTTCAGATTTAACATTGCACTGTCAAAAAGAAACTGAAATGGTTGAGGTATGAAATCAAGATTATGAACTTAATGGCTTTTGCTTAGCAGTATGCTTGCGATTCCATCTGTGTACTGAAAGTACTTTCATAAAAATACTTTCAGTACTTTCAGTACTGATTGTAACGAAATGAAGTTGCTTTATTCAGTGACTGCATCATTACGGAAACTAGCATCTACATTGCAGCCAAAACAACTGTAACTAGGCCTACAACCAGTTCTCAAACTGACACTTTGCAGCATGAGTGAAAACAGTGATTCAGAAAAGTTTAAAATTCCACAAAAAAGCATTGATACAAGGAATGCATTAGTGCATTATATGTGTCAGTCGTAAAAAAAAGTCGAGCCGGCTGGCAAAATCCGGGATCATGCTAATTGATATGTATGTTATATCTTGTATTTGTAACGAGCTTTAACAACTTCAGCATGCATTATTGAAAATGTTTTTGGATAAATCTTACCTTTGTATAGTCTCGGCAAATTAATCAGTCGCAAATGCAGTAAAAAAATTGACAATTTAACTCTATGACAGTCATTGACCTGCATGCTGAAATATGATTAAAAGGTATTTTTTATTTCATGAAATGTTAGTACAGATGTCTATTAATAAAATAAGTATTTGGAGTCATCTGGCAACTACCGGTCAAATACCTGAATGCAGCACATCACTCAATCACATTTTCACAAAGTGGCAGCAAACTTGAAAATGCTTAACAGAGCTCATTTTCACCGCTAACTAAAAATATATTGATTTTATCGGATGACACCTTCGTGCCATTGATTATGATGGAAACAATAGATGGTAAACAGCGTGACGAAAGAGGCACAGATTTCAGCTGAATGAGTACAATGCTAAAGTATAATAGCATCAAGGTAGCGTGAAAACCAGGTCACATTGACCTAGATTTGATTGTAACGAGTAACACCATTAATGATAGATATATTCATTGTTGTTGTTGTTGGGCTTAATGCCATTTTTCAGCACACGATAAGCTATTCATGGTGGCCAGTAATAATGGTGGAGGAAGAAACCGGGAAATCTCCGGAAAGAACCACCGACCCAAGAGAAGCTACTGGCAAGCTTTCTCACATATCCACATTCGCCGAATCCTAGACTCGAACACACGCAGACAGAGGTGAGATGGCAGTGATCCGTAACGGACAGCGCATTAGACCACTCGGCCACTAGGGGCCCCGATATATTTCTTAAATTTGATGACTGTGTTACAGTTATGCCAGGGATACTGAGCGAAGAGTAACACGATTATATAACGATATATCCATTAAATTTGATGACTTTGTTACAGTGATGTCAGGGTTACTGAGCGAAATGCAAATATTCAATGTCATCGCTGGAGGTCTTAAATGGGTTGCCTTGATCGTCATTAGCCAACTGAATATAATACCATCCAAGATGAATACACCCATTGTGTTTGATGACTGTTATTATGTATATCTATGTTGATATCTTGTACATTGTAATGAACATTTTGTAAAGAAAATATGATTTGACTAACACTTGTCTATGTTTGCAGACTAACTTTAACATAATATTTGTAAACATGTTTACTTAGATTTGAGCTCATAACATTGGTATTCCTCTTGGAAAAAAGTGTCTATCTCATCTTTGCCAGGTAGTTTCAAGTAAATAGACATGACCCATTTTACGAATAAGATGGACATTTCGATTATGAATAAGTCATGTGATAGCCTGTATATGAGGCTGTTTACATTAGAATTATTCATTCCTATATATCGTTCTGGAATCATAAGTGGTTAAAGAGTCCGTCTCGGAAGTGGGAGGTCGCGGGTTCGAAGCCCAGCCGAGTCATTCCAATGGCTTACAAAAATGGTACTAACTACTTCCCCGTTTGGTGCTCAGCATTGAGAAGTTAGTGTTAAGACTGGTCTGCATGGTGTCATGATAATTTGACTGGATGAGACACGATGCTAAATGTCTGCGTCATGAATCACCAATGCTATATATCACTATAAACTGCCACGCTGTAGACTTCCTAGCGATATGACTGAAGAATTGTTAAAGCTACGTTACAAATCCTAATCTCTCTCTCTCTCTCTCTCTCTCTCTCTCTCTCTCTCTCTCTCTCTCTCTCTCTCTCTCTCTCTCTCTCTCTCTCTCTCTCTCTCTCTCTCTCTCTCTCACACACACACACATACTTTATACTTAAGAACCATATGAACTGGAGCCACGTAGTTAAATAATCACTGAAGTTGCAAATACACGCTTTACAAGGTTAAAATGTACCCTAATGCTGCTTTTTATATGCAAATATTTTATATACACAGTAAACTTAAAGAACTGTTGAGTTTCAATATATTGACATTATTAACACTAAGCTAAGTTGTATATCAGGACAACGTGACGATAATGTTGTGTTTATATTATTGTGGAACACGTTGTGAACCACTTGTCCACAAATCTGATGACAGATCAGTGTATTACAATGAAGTTTCATTCATATCATTGACGTAACATGATCTTTCGAGGCAAAAAATATTCATAACAACGTTAGCTTTGTGATGAAAGTATACAGTTGTTATAAACATATTACTTTTTACGAGTAAAGGTGGTTGCATTTCGAAGATTTGCAAGGAAGTAACAAAAATCCTAAAGAAAGTTTTCAAAAATATTTTAGAGAAATTAGTAACACATACACAAACCTCCAATTTTCGGCTACGAATCTGTTGTTTTAAATTAAGTAACAAGAAGGAGCGTAAACTAACCAATTTTTAAAAACTTCAAGAAATAATTTCTTTCTTAAGAATAAAATTGTAAATGTTCAACAAAATAATCGCCTAATGATTGTGAATTTATCCCCACACAATCTCTCTTGTCATAATAAGCCTAATTGAATTAAATCACACTTAAATTCCAGTGCTATTTCCAATATTCTCCAGCACTGAATGTGTTGATGTGCCTGTATCTCGAGTAGAATAATGTTCCAGAGGCCAGGAAGGTGGAGATGTGCTAATAGCCATTTGGTGTATTGCAATCGTTACGCATATCTATGATTTTGTAACACATGGTACATGATTGCATATGATTTTCGAAAGTTTTATTCAAAGTTGTAAACTATATAGAATATATTTTGTTATAAATAGTGTACCAGATTCTGTTAAGATTGAAAATTGCCAAGGATTTATGAATAATGAATAGATGCCTACGTATGTGTTGATGAGTATTAACAACAATCTTAATAATAGACACAAAATGGCGCCCATGGCGTAGCATCTAAGTGACTGGTGGGATTTCTAAGTTTCCAGAAAAATTCTGTACTTTTACTTTCGTTGCGAGAGGTCACGTGAATATTCTTAAATCAACCTAAAATCAATTTGTGTATGCTGTTACGTGGGGTCCATTTAGAAGTACACTCGCAATATATGGTTTATATAGGACATCATTAGCAAGCAGATTCTTTCCGATTTTTGGAGTCAATCGCACTTAATGTGTTCCTGTTATGAGTCAGTAGACCCTTTTTATATTTTAATTAGGTTTTGTTCAAGAGTAAATAAAACAAATATTAGTTTGGACTGTTTAGTGGAAATTGAAAGTGCTCATTATTTGGACTGTAATAATATTAATCTGGGCCAGTTATAAATTATTTGAAGGAAGTCTGGAAAACACCATCTTGACTTATAGGTTCTTAGAGGACTAGTACGTTTCTGATATTGAAATTTATAACTTTTCATTCATATGTAACTTTGATAGAACTTTATAGGGACTAATCTTTAATCCTTCGATAATCCTGTTAATTTCCTCTTACATAGTTAATTTATAACTTTATTAATTAAATTGATTTTAAGTCTTATGAAACTTGGTTTTGCATCTTTACTTTTCCTTAAATGTGTTACCATAAAGTCGGTAAAATAAGTTGTTGCTTGTCCAGGAAACTAAATTTCAGAGCAATTTCAATATTTTGAAATTTAAATTCATTATATTTCGGACTTATCTTAGTCCTTAATAAATTTTATTGTAGGTAGTGAGACCAACAAGCTTTCATAATGCCAACTAAAGTGGAGAACTTTATATTAAATTCTAGCCATGAACGGCAAGAGTCCTTAAAAAAAGAAAAATTGCTCCAACTTGTCAGACATTTCGATATTTCAGAGGCAAAGCTATCTTTGTTAAAATAAGAAATGAAAAATGTTTTGGTTCAATATTTTGGACAAAAATGCTTTGAGTTTGATTAGTAAGTCGAACTCTGTCTCTAATTTGCAAGTTATGGAATTTAAATTAAAATGCAAGGATGAAATTGAGCTAAGGAAGCTTCAAATGCAAAAAGAGAAACATATCCAAACTCCAAATAAAATAAAAATAAATGGAGATCAAATTACAGATGCGAAAGGAAGAAAAAGAAAAAAAATGAAAATGCAGGAAAAAGATTAAGAAGTGCAGAGAGACTAGATTTGAATGAAATTGCAATTACGTAAAGAAGAAAGAAATATAAAAATGCAATTTAAAAAAAATAGAACTAGCAAGCAAGAAGCATCTCACTCATGACGGTTCATCTTTAAATTTGCACAAAATATTAGAGTACTATCTCCTAATACGGAGCACGATTTAAATCAATATTTTTCACATTTTGTAAAAGTAGCAGTTTATGTGAAATAACCAAGAGCGTTCTGGACTTTATAATTACAGAGTGTCCTTATTGGCAAAGCTTCACTGTCAGTACAACCAAGTGCTGACTAAAAATTGATCAAGGGATGTATCTTGAAGGTTATGAGCTCGTACATGAGGAAATATCGAAAACGTTTCGGAATTACAGAAGCATGTCAAGTTCGCTGGCAAAAGATAACACCTATTTGTCCGGTTCTAGTCATCTAAAATGATTGATAAAGATTATGAGAAAGTTATGCAACATGCATTAGTCGAAGAATTAAAAAACTGCATCCATAGTGACGCTAAAAAGTTACCTTGATGAATGCAAGATATGTAATTGAGAAAATGTTGCTCGTATAGCTGACGAATATTCCATGTCTCACAAAGTTTCATTTGCCAACAAGTTTTTCTATCAGCAAATGGTTAGTAAGAGATCAAATCAGTCTCATGCTAGTATTTACAAATTTTCATCTGGTAAAACCTATAAGAATTCAACGTATGATAAGACTGATCAGAAATCCTTATCCTTTCCAGTGTACATTTATTGCAAAAGAATGGGGAATGTTATTTCTAACTGCTTTAAGGTATAAAAAATAAGCAACATAATAAAGACAGAGCAATACCAAATGATATTGTTTCTCATAGTTCAAGGTCATGTTCAAGTATTGGAAACGATTTATTTGTTGGGTAAACAAACCCCAGTCTGATTCTATTATAGAAAACTATGAACCATTTGTATCTAGATTTATATATCACTTATTGTTAATTCGATCAATATGATACCTATTAAAATATTAAGCGACACAGGAACTTCTATGTCTTTATTTGTTAAGTACTTTGCCTTTGTCTAAGAAGTCGTCTTCTTCTAAAAATGTTTTTGGTCAGGGAGAAGAGTGTGATTTTCTTCAGATTCCTCTCCATAATGTTTATCTAACATCAAAAACGCTGTTGGCGCTGTGAGTTCGTTACATGCTGAAGGTCTTCATTTCCCTCTAGGTAATGACTTAAATGGAGATACGGGATACAGTTGTGTCTAATCCAAATGTAACTGACAAGACTTATTTGGATCAAAATAGTTGATCCTATTGAAAATGAAGCCCTGATTTATACATAGCTTATGTAGTTACTATAGGTAGGGCAAAAAAGAGCGCTTGAGAATGAAGTTGATCAGGAAATTATTCCTTTGCTTGCCACTTGTAGTCGTCAGGCTTTTGATGAGGTCACGTTTGCTCCTATTATTGATCAATCCAAAGGTATTGTAAATTATGATCTTCTTTTAACGACTGGTTCTCTTTTGCCTAAGCATGGTGACAACGGTAATCACTAGTCCTCGAACTGGAAAAAGGTTTTGAGATCTCCTGTTGATTCAAAGAACTATTAGCTAATCTGACTCGGCAGAGGTAACAACTTGCTCTTTTATTTTTAAAATTGGGTCCTTATGAGAAAATGTAGACCACACGATTACCTGCTGATGACCAGTGGTTATTTAGCTACCAAATTGTTTCTAACTACAGTAGAGTTTGCCACACTTGTCATATGGTAGGCAAACCCATATAAATACATATAAAGCTGCATTTAATGAACCATTTAGAATAATAATGGATTGTATAGACCTTTACACAAGACCAAGTCAGGCAACCAATTTATGTGTGCGCAACATGGTTTCTAGAAACGTTTCCTTTACGGAATATTAGAACTAAACTATTGTCAAAGCCTTAACAAAGTTCTTTACAGCCTTTGACCTTCCTGCGTACATCCAATTTGATCACATTTCTAATTTTATGTGGAATTCTCAATCAGCTATGCATGAATTAGGTATTCAACAGTTCGAGTCCTGCGTATCACCCATAAATCATGGGGGCATTGGAAAGATTTTATCTGACTTTAAAGAACATGTTAAGGTCATATTTCTTTGGTACGAGAAAAGATTTGGACAAAGGTGTTCACAACACACAAGGCTTGTAGAATATTATTGAGATGGATTCAGAAATACATCCCTCTGTTTGCTTTCTTATCGTTTGATTAAGTTTACTTTACGTTTGCCAAATTGGACATGGTTATGGTTTGGGTTGCCATGGAGGAGTTTGTGTAATTTTCATATCGTCAGCAAATCCGTGCGAGTATGAATGCAATAATCTACTACTCGCACTGTCCGCGTGAATACACTTTTATTGCATATACGGAAAGTCATTGTTTCTCTCACTTTAACAAC